ACCCCTAGCCAGTGCTGTAACTGTGCTGCCTTTTTCTATAGTAGAGGTGGCCTTTGAGTCCCAGTAAAATATCTGTGTTGTACTTCAATATCTGCATATAGGCCTTGCCCCGGTAGGTCCCAGTTGATTTTCATGGGCTGCAGCTGCAATGTCCTTCATTGGGCTGCAGCTGTGGCTAGTGAAGATAGCTGGGATAAAAGGGGGTGGGTTGGCCAGTCAGGGAGAGCCTGGAAGGAGCCGTGACTAAGAAAGAACAACATGCAGAAGAAGGAGTCTGTGCTGTGAAGATCTACAGCCATAAGAAAACACCGAAAGAAGGTATGGGACTCTAGAAATATAACAACAACACTTTTCCATTTGTGCTAGGAGCAAAGGAAGAAGAAGCCACTCCTCGGGAGCCTACAACACCTTGTCCCGCTGAGAGGCATCCTATAGCGTCAACTCCAGGCCTGGTGGGGAGGCACATGACCTCCCTCCCCCCCTCAGTCAAACTACAGGTGACGTCAGCATCCAGGTAAGGCTGAGCCTCCTGCTCTGGGCAGCATACACCCTTGCATGCCAGTGGTCCTCTGCAAGATTTACCCGAGGCTCTTCTCTCCACAGAGGAAGGGAATTCCGGGAACGCCCAGAATTTAAATTCCTAACCCCTGTGCGGCGTTCCCTGCGGATTGAGTGGGCTCGGAGTCGCTATCCAGAGATGCTACACGACCGTGACCCTGTGGTGTCATCTCTCAGTGAAATCCTGGCTGCTGAGGAGGAGACTCTCTTCTTCTTCCGGAAAAACAAGGCTTTGCCGGAAGTTACAGAGTTGGAGGGCTTGAGTTCATATCCACCCAAGAGCCCCCGAGGGTTGGGCATGAAATAACCATAGAAATTTTGTTTTAAAATTATAATAACGATATACATTTTGTTTTATAAATGTGTTAAAATAAGAAATGTTTTAAATTTTGTTTTAAAATGTTTTACATAACAAATGCGTATTTATTTTTTAATAAATTAAATAAATTTATTTTATTTTTATTTTAAATTAAATAAATTTAATTTATTTTTAAATAAAAATAATTAATTAAACTTTGCAGAGGAGAACTGTGTGCCTACACTTGGAGCAGGTAGCAGCACAAGGTACCAGGCAAGAGATTGGCAAGGGGATTGGCAGGTGCTGTGAACAGTGACCACCCTGCAGCTGTGGAAGGTGGGGGAGCCCTGCTGTCACCCACCCAGTCCCAGCAGGCAGTGCTCCTGGCCTCATCACACTCTTCTCCTGCTCTCTCCCAACCCCAGCCTTGGCTCAGCATCTCCATTGAGCCGTGGATCCGTGATTTTGGCCCAAAATAAAAAGATCGCAAAGTGCTTGATCAGAGACGGGGAGTCTCATGAGAGCTATCAGATTCCTCCACCCAGAAACAGTCACCTGTTCATCTGTGCAATGTTGCTTCCCCGTTTTTAAGGAAAACCCACTCCTCAGCAGGCTCCCACTCCAAGAGACGGACAGTCTGCTGCGTTGGGAAAACCCGTCCCTTACTCAGTTCGCGGCCTCCCGGGGCCGATGCCCGCGATCCCAAGGGGACAAACGGCGCGCGGCGCAGTCAGCCTTACCTCGAGAGGCGTCCGGTGCCGAAGGGCTGCGCTTCCACGCGGGCTCTGCAGGGCTCGCCGTTGAGTCAGGGACGGAGCAGAGACTCCGCTCGGCAGAGGTGGAGAATCATCATCCGAGGCGCTGGACGGAGGAAACGGTGCAGCTTTTATAACCCGACTCGCTAAACCAAGGCTGGATTGGTTCTGGAGTAAAAACCTCTCACTCTATTGATGAATTAGGAATAGCAAACTCCGGAAAATCGTATCTGTAAACAACATGTGTGGAAAGAGAGATAATAATTATTTTAAATATTTTATCTAGGTTTTCTCACAGCTTCCCAGGAAAATCCTGGGGAGTTATAATGCCTGTTAAGATTAGATGTGATGGGTGCCCCCCCACCTGTGGCTGGGGCTCTCTCCACGGAGAGCAGCAGGCACAGCTTTCCCAGGCACTGTGCTGGGGGAGGCTGTGAGAAGATCAGAGAAAAGAATGATCAACAGTTCTTATCCTCACTTGCTGCACCTGCTGTTGTGAACATGTGGAATGTGCTGTGGAGATTTGTTTAACAAGGGGTGATTTCTTAACTGGCCTGCGGTGATGGTGTTTGGATTCAATCTGGAAAAAGCCGTATTGGACTGTCTGGACTGTCTGAAGGGTGATGGGTTTTCTCACAGTATAATACAGTATAGTATAAGAAAGTGATTGATCAGCCTTCTGGAATCATGGAGTCAATGCTAATTATTACCCTGTTCAGGGGCCTGCTGCTACAATACCCAGGCAGCCCACAATGGGGACAGACTCACCTTGTCCTCATTGCTGAAGTCAAACAGGTAGGACATGATGGCCTGCAAGGACATCTGGCATCATCACTGCTGCCCCCAGGCAAGGCAGACCCTGCCTGTGCTTCAGCACAGCCCCTCTGCCTCCCCCATGCAGGGCAGGGGGGACCGTGCAGGGCAGTTATCCACGCAGGTGGGGGACAGGGACACCCCTACTCACGTCAGTGTAGGTGTAGTCACTGTTGGTGGCCAGGAAGACCTTCCCCACCTCCTTCATGCGACTCAGCAGCAGCGGCACACGGGGCTAGTGAGGGGCAAGTCAGTGAGGGGGAGCGTGGAGGTGACTGAGGGGCGCAGAGTGAAGAGGGGTCCCTAGGGTCTGTACAACTCACATCCTTCACCACATATTTCTCCAGGTTCTCCAGCGTCTTCTCCTTGAGGCAGCCCTGCAGGAGGAATGGGGTGGGGCTGGCCACCACCACTAAAAGCTCCCAGGGGGTGCGTGGTGGGAAAACCCCAGCACTGCCAGCACCCACCAGCCCAAGCCCCCTGCCCCCTGCACCCACCGAGAGGTGGACGTGGTCCATGGCCTCGCGCACATCCTGGAACATGCTGCGGAAGGACATGAAGAGGTTCCCGTGCTTGTAGCCAGTGTCACAGCTGCAACAGGCAGGAAGGGAATGTGAAAGGGCTGCCCTGCTAAGGGAAGCTCTCCCCAAGATCGACACCTGTCTGATCCAACACCAAGCCCCCAGCCACCACCTCCCTCTTACTTGACATATCTGGAGCAGTTGGTGAAGAAGTCCACGAGACAGGCATAGAGGTGGGCCTCTGTGAGGAAGGGGGCCGTGAGAAGGGATGCAGGGTGGGACAGCACCCCAGGGTGGTGGGAGGGCCAGGACAATGGGGGCTCTCACTCACCTGTGAGGTTGAAGAGGGTGTTGAGGATGTGGAAGCGCTTCATGTCATCCCGCTGGATGAACTTGTTGGGGTAATAGTGCAGGATTTCGGCTCTGGGGAGGGAGCATGGAGCTGCACTCCACCCTGGGGGACCTCCAATGTCCTCCTGCCCCGGGGGTGGTGAATTCCCAGACTCACCCCTTGAGGAAACGGAAGCCATGGGCACAGACCAGCAGGTTCCCATGGGAATCCACCTTCAGCAGGTTCCCGTACAGGGCATCGAATACCAGCCCCCTGCACCACACAGCTGTCAGTGCTGGGGGGCTGCCTTGCCCTCCCCTGCCGTCCCTGGGACCCCCTCCACAAACTGACCGGGTGGGGAAGGTGGGGTCATACTTGTAGGCCAGGATCTCAGGAGGGTACCCGATGGCAACAAGGTGCCCTGTGCCCTACCTGGCACACCTGTATGGCCCCTCCTGAGAGGGATATCTGCAGCCCAGGTGTCTGAGGCACAGGTGGTGGCAATGGCTCTGCCTGAGGCGCTGCGGGCCCTGCAGTGCCCCAGCAGCTTCTGTGCAGAGACTGGCAGCAGGGCAGCAGCATCAAGGGTTGAGGAGGACCTTGGGGTGCAGCAGGCCAGGCCCCACCTCCCAGACATGGTTGGGATTCTGGGGACTGATGAGCCCTGTAAGTGCACTCAGGCCTCCACTGGTGCAGTCCCTGCACTCGGAGTAGGCAGGAGCAAGAGACTGGCAAGGGGATTGGCATGTTGGGACCCATCCCCGTCCCGGCCACCCTTGTTGGTGTTGGTGCTTGGCACCAACCACGGTGCATGGAAACTGACTGTCATTGCCACTTTGTTATCTTACTGTAAAACTTTCCTGCCTTCTCTCTGGGAGCTCCCACGGGCAGCTCCTCACAACGGTGACTCCTTTTCTCTTCCTTCTGCATGGCCAGCTGACTCCTTCCCATCCCTCAGCACAGCTAACAAACTCCAACTCTCCTCTCAACTAGCTAACCTACTCTTTTTTAACAGTCACCCTGTATTGGAAACAGCTGTGGCCAATTAAGGGCAGGTCTGCTCCTACTCTTTGGTAATTAGTACAGCTGCAACTTGTCAGGGGCGTGATTGCCTTCAGCACTGTCTCTATTCTCCAGTCCATCTTCCCACACTGGCAGGTGCTCTCTGCTGTGAACGGTGACCACCCTGCAGCTGTGGAAGGTGGGGGAGCCCTGCTGTCACCCACCCAGTCCCAGCAGGCAGTGCTCCTGGCCCTGTCACGCTCTTCTCCTGCTCTCTCCCAACCTCAGCCTTGGCTCAGCATCTCCATTGAGCCAGGGATGCTGGCAGAAGTCTCAGAGCAGTTATGGCACGGGGTGGCTCTGCTCTGTGCAGTGCTCCTGGCCTGGCCCCTCTGCAGAGCTGGGGATAGCTCGGGGCTGCCACCTTCTCCCTAGGGGCTTGTGCTTGCCCCAGCTGCTGGACAAGGACTGGGGGACTGCCCTTTGCCCCCAGCTCTCAGGTGCAGGGACAAAACAGTTTTCCTTTAAAACCAACTTTATGTCTCGGCAGTGCCAGGAGTTTTGAGGGTGTTTTATAAATAGAAACGGGTAGAAAGAAGAAAAGAGGAACAGCAGGTGCACGGGGTTCCCCTGGAGCAGGTGTCACCTGCAGAGCCCCACCCCATCCACCCAGCACTGCGGTGCTCATGGCCAGGCCCAGAGGCTAAAGGGGCAGGGGGCTTTCGGTGCTGGGAGCCCAACTATTGCAGTGGGGCTGCCAGGGATGCTGCAGCAGTGGCACTGCCCGTTCACCCTGGTGCTGGATGCCCCCAGGCTGGCAATAAGATGGTGGGAGAGGAATGAGTTCAAGGGGCACCAGGCAGATATGAATTAAACGGGCAGGAGCTAGCAGCCTTGGAGGGGGGGGGGAGGGGGAGCCTCTCCTGGCTCTGGGCAGAGTCAGGAGAAGGTCCCAACTGCCCAGGGACAGGGGACAGATGTGACAGGGACCAGGAGTCAGGGCCACCAGCCATCCTGTGTGGCCACCAGAGGTGGCAGCTGGCCATGAGCGCAAGTGGTCCAGGGCCACTGAATGTCCTCCCGTGGGCAGCATGGCAGTTGGGGGGTGCTCAGGCTTCTCCATCATCTTCTTCCTCCCCACTGGAGTCCTGCGGGACCTGAGGCAGTGCAGAAGGGGCTCAGTGGGCACAGGACCCCAAGGGCGTCAGCATGGCAGGATGCCCGTGTCCTTCTGCCCCTGTGCTCCTGCCACCCACCTGCTGGTGAGGGTCACCATGCTGGGCCAGCCAGGGAGGAAGGGCAGTTCCGGCATCCCCTGAGTCCCGGTGAGAGTGCTCCACTGTTGACTCATGAGCCATCTGTGGGGGGGGACAAGGCTCACAGAGAGAGGCTGGCACCAGCCCCATGCCCGCTCAGGCAGGGAGGGAAACTGAGGCACAGTGGGTGACCAGCAGGGCCTGAGGGCTGCCTACCAGGACAGGGGGAGCCCGGAAGAGGTAGCTGAAGGGGTAATAGAGGAAGTTGATGAAGGAGGCAGCGTAGAGGTCTGCGTAGCGCATCAGCTGGTTGGCAAAGAGTGTCTGACGCGAGCCACAGCGGAACAGGCTGCCCATCTTCCCATAGCACATGTCCATCTCATGTGTGACTTTCTGTGGGTGCAGCAGGACGGTCAGGGCAGCTAGCAGCTCCTGGGGGGCCCTCCACAGAGGAGTTTGTGGCAGGGGGGTGAGCTAAGCTGTGTGCCAGGAGGCACAGTGCCCTGGCTGTCACCTGGATCCGGCGCTTGATGGAGCTGATGTCTGGGCGCTCACTGCTGCCACTGTCCAAGTGCCTGCAACGGAACAGACCCAGCTGAGGGCTCACCTGGAGGGTGTGCTCCCACCCCTGCCTGTCTCCCACCCCAACCAACTCACTGGTACAGCTCGGCCAGGAAGAGATCCAGGCTCCGCAGCTCCTCAAACAGCTCTGCAAGGGCAACAGGGCCAGCTCAGTGCAGGGGCATCACCCACTGCCCAGCATGACCAACAGAGCGTCCGGGCATGGCCCACTGAGGCAGCTTTGCCATCCAGGGGTGTAGGAGGCTCCAGACACCTCCCCTTGCATGGTAAAGTCAGTGTCCCCAGCCCAGCACTGCTCACCACTCTTCTCTGTCCAGACCTGCAGCTCTCGGGCCAGCTCGGGCACCACCAGGAAGGTGCGCCAGCCCTGCCGCTTCTTGGATTTCAGGATGTCCCCAAAGATGTGGTCCCCCATGTAGAGGATGTCCTTGCCCTTCACACCCAGGAGGTCACACACCACATCTGACGAGCCTGTGACAGCCAGGGGTCAGGGTGGGGGGTGGGCACATCCCCCTTACTGCCCGCAGAGCCTAGAGAGCCCAGCTGGGTGCTTACCACCAGAGTACACAGCACAGTGCTGCAGGGGGCCCGTGTACGTCCCAATGCGCAGCTTCCCCGTGTCCTACAGGACAAGAGCACCCCAGGATGGGGACACTGTCACCTCTGCCTGCTTGGTGGCCAACCGGCCATGAACCCACCTTGCTGTGCCCACAGGAGCCCCCTCAGGGCCCAGTCAGTGCCCACCCCTCCTGCAGCAGGGGAGAGGTGCCCACCGTGTCCACTTGGCGCAGGACGGTGCCCTCAGCAAAGAAAAGGGGCTTGCGGGTGTCCACCACAATCAGGTCGAAGTAGGACCTCCAGGGCCGCCGTGGGACATCAGCCTGTGGATGGGGAGGGGGTCAGCAGGAGGGTGCTGATGGCACCCTGTGCCCCCCCACCTGTGGCTGGGGCTCTCTCCACGGAGAGCAGCAGGCACAGCTTTCCCAGGCACTGTGCTGGGGGAGGCTGTGAGAAGATCAGAGAAAAGAATGATCAACAGTTCTTATCCTCACTTGCTGCACCNAGGGCGCCGATAACCCCAGCGCAGGGCTGTTTACCGCCCCTCCCGTGATACAGGCGGCACGTGGAGCTCTTATCTCTGTCCCCAGCTCTCTCCTGGGGCTCAGGGCCAAGGCAGCGAGGGCTGTGGGGCAGCATTTGGGGCCCCCGCCGTGTCCAAAATCCCCAGAACCACAGGCAGCACTGGCATCCCAAGGAAATCTTTTATTAAGTCCGAGGTAGCAGCAGTGACAGGGGGCCGGAGGGCAGCACCCCCGGGCCCCCGAGCAGGATGGTGTCCACAGCACTACGCAATGGAGGCAAAGCTGAACACTGCACAGCCTGCAAGAGGGGCACCCCACGACTCCCCGGCCCTTTGTTCCAGGGCAGGCAAGGACCAACCTCTGTCCTTCCCCCAAAAATCACCGCCAGGGGATCGGTAGAAGTGAGAAAGTGGCCCCCAGTAACTGCTTATCTACAGCTACAGCAGATCAGGGGGGTCACCTGGGGGCACATACAGCCCTGGCAGTGCACCCCCACAATGTTAGCGCCAAGACAGTTATATTAAAAAAAAAAAAAAGATACTTCAGTGACAGCACTATGCGCAGATGGGCGCAGCTGCCACCCCACAGCAGGCAGCCTCGGTGGCTCCTCGAGGGAGGACAGCAGTGGGAAGCAGGAGCAGTGGGACCCTGGTGCCCTCACACCCTCAGGACAGCGAACTTGAAGACAGCCATGATGGCAGCGCTGATGAGGCCGGAGATGGGGACGGTGACGAACCAGGCCATGAAGATGTTTCGGAAGAGGCGCCAGTCCACCGCCTTCCTGGAGCGCAGCCAGCCCACTGAGACGACTGAGCCCACCTGCACGAGGAGCCGGGGCATGTTCAGCACCAGGGCAGCCCTCTGCACCCCCCAAACACGCACTCCTCCACCCCTCGGGCAGAGCCCTGGGTCCTGCCCCGGCCTGTGGGCACCGCACAGAGCGCAGGCAGGGAGTGCAGGGCAAGGAGCTGCTTGCCCAGAGGTGTCACCGACATATTTTCATAAAAATCCTTTCTTTAGGATTTTTCCTTCTGGGAAGCTGAGGCCCGAGAAAAGGGATGTAAACAATGGTTATCTGCTGCTGTGGAATGCAACAGGTGCACCTGTGATTGGCCCATGTTGGATGTGTACAATTAAGGGCCAATCAAAGACCGAGCTCTTTTGTTATTCATTCCTTTTTTATTCTTAGCTTAGTAGCTTCTGAGAACTTTCCTTCTATTCTTTTTAGCACAGTAATAATGTAATATATACCATAAAATATTAAATCAAGCCTTCTGAACATGAGGTCAACATTCTCGCCTCTCTCTTCACCCTGAAAACCCTTACAAGCTCTGTAACACAGAGGGGTGACAGGACCAGGATCCCGCAACACTAGGGTTCCCATGGCCTCTTGGCAAGAGCCTAGGGGACCATGAAAGGGGTTTTGTTCTGCCATCACCTCCCAAGTGCCCCAGGGGCCCACCCGAGGCTGGGCAGCCGCTGTCACCTCACATTGAGATTCAAGCGGCAGAGCTGGGAGCTGACAGTGGCCAGTGGCCCAGAGTGGGGCCTCCCACACAGCTCAGCCCTGTGAGCACCAAGAGCTGGGAACTCTGCGCTCACACCAAGCCAAAGCCATGCCCCTGGTAGCCCTCCTACCTTGCAGTGAGTTGTGCTGATTGGAAGGCCGACGTTGGAGGCAATGACCACCGTCAGTGCTGAGGCCAGTTCGATGCTGAAGCCGCTGCAGGAACAGAGAGCAGATCAGAATAGGGGCACTGGATACCCCAAAACACCGTGGGCTCAGCTCAAGGCAGCACTGCTTGCCTCTGCAGCCCCCAGATGAACCCCCCAGGATGCAGAAAGGTGTTGGAGCCCCACACACCCCAGCTCCACCACTGAAACCCCCAGGAGAGAATGGAGAGGGGCTCCTGGAGCAGAACGCAGCTCTTAGGCTGCACAGAGCCTCCCCTCTGCTCCATAGTAGCCCTTACCTGGATGGTGTGATGGGAGTCAGGTCCTTCCCCATCGTCTGGATGACTCTCCTTCCCCAGACCCACAAGCCAATGCAAATCCCTGCACCCCCATAGAGAAGCAGCCAGATGGGAGTTGCCACCTTGGTAGCCACATCGCCCGTCTGATAGACCAGGAAGAGTGCAACCAGGGGCCCAATGGCGTTGCTGGAAGAGAAAGAGGAACTGGTCTAGAGGGCCAGAGGCTCTTGGAAAGATAGAATATCCCTGGAAGTGTTCAAGGCCAGGTTGGATGGCACGTGGAACAACCGGGTCAAGAGGAACACGTCCATGGCAGGGGGTTGGAACAAGGTATTTAAAGGTCCCTTCCACCCCAAACTATTTTGTAATTCCATGATTCTGTGAGCACTAGCCCCAGCTAGCAGCATACCTGGCTCCCACAACTCCACTGACCTGACATCATTGCCACCGTGAGCAAAGGAGCCAAAACAGGCTGTGAGGATCTGCAAGAACTGGAAGAGCAGAGACACCTCAGGCTTGTCCTGCTCGTGCCACTCTTCCAGGGAGCCGGTGCTGCCTTTGCGGTCAGTGGCCCCCAGCTCTGCCTGGGCTGTGTTCAGGTCCACGTCTCCAGCCGGGTGTGCGTCCGCCACTGCGTTGCAGTAGCTGGTGTAGCTGTCCATGCGGACCCTCTTCTTTGTGTCCACCACAGACCAGCTGAGCTTCTCCCCCTCCTCGACGTCCCTGGCCCGCAGAGAGTCCAGGGGCATGCCACAGATGGCCATGGTGTAGGAGGTATAGCTGTTATTGCGCCGCAGGGGCTTGTCCCCAGAGTCCCCCATGCAGTCCCCCATCTTGGCCAGGTGCAGCTTGTGCAGCAGCTCCTTGTAGAGGCCGGAGTCCTTGTGCACAGTGTGGTACTGGTACTGCCCCCCTGAGCCCAGCTGGTGGCCCACTGCCTGGCTCAGGTGGACCAGGTTGCCGTTGGGCAGCCGCACAGCTCCTGCCAGGGGGGACAGCGGGGTTAGCACCACGGGGTGCCTGGGCTGGGGGACTCTCAGCACCCCAATCACCCCCTGCTACTCACCACTGTCAATGCTTGTTTCCTTCAGGTCAAGGCTGGGAAGCCTCTCCTGCTCTGGGGCCTCCTCCAGCTCCCCCAGGTTGAAGGAGACCATCCTCTCCTCCCCCGCTGCCCGGGGCGGGACGGCTGACCCTGCATCAGCAGCAGGGCCCTTGGCATCTTCCAAGGACATCTTGACCTCCTCTTGCTCCTCCTTTGGGCAAACATTCTTCTCCATCAAAGGGCTTTCAGAAGGACTTGATTTTATCTCTCCTGCAAAGAGGGGCAGCCGCCATCAAACCCCTTTCCACCACTGCACCAAATGCCAGCAGCAAGCCCACACCCCTTGCCACTCAGATTTATGGCAGCCAAATAAAATTTACAGCTCCTCCACATCCTGAACTTTGGAAACTGCTGGACAGTCACACCTTGTCCCAGGCACAACAGCCAAATCATCTAAGCCAGCTCATCCCCTATTTTTAGACACCTCCACCCACACGAGGTGTGGTGAACACCATTATGGGGCTTTTATGTCGGTAACGTCTAGTGCAGAGGTTCCTCTTTGGGCCATGTTTGTCCCATCCCTGTGGGCAGTGGGATGCTCTGGACCCACTTCTGGAGCGGCTATGACCCCTGAAGCTGACAGAGAGGCGCCCAGAAGAGCCCAGCTCCTCTACCAGCCCAGCAGCTCCAGCCTGGGCTCCTCTCCAGCTTCCACTAGATGACAAACCCAAACAGGAGCTGGTCTCCACCCCCAAAAGGCAGCCTGGTTTCCTGTCCACGCTGGGCAGCCAAACCAGCAGCACCAAGCTGTGGAACCTGAGGCTGTTCCTCGGCCTCTAACAGTAACAGCATGTTTTCTCCAGGTGAAAACATGAGGTCAGCTCCTTCAGACAACAACCAAAACCACTTTCTTGTCATAAACATGACCATTTCCCTGTCACTTTGTTTGCCTCAGGGGCTGAGTTGTGGCATCAACTCTCCATCCTGGCATCTAGTCCTAGCAGAGCTGTCTCTCCCTGCATGCCCACCTCCTCCCAGGGATGCTGTGGGCAGGCAGGGAGCATAGCATGCCTGACAGGCAGAAGAGCCCACCTCACCTCACAGGCAGGAGTTAAACAGCTGGAGGATTGTCAAGATCAGCCATAAAGCTGTTAGTCACACCCCAATTACACCAGCACAACAGGGACATCCCCTCATCACCAGCTCCCAAGGCCCCAGCCTGCACACATCATTGATATTCAGGACCACATGCAGTTCCAAGTACTGCTCTGGAGGCAGAGCTCCAGGCTGATCCTTTGGATGCCTTTCAATAGAGTGTTTTGGGTTTTTTTGCTACAGGCAAAGGATTTCATCAGCTTTAAACTTGTGATCTGCATCAGCCAGGCCAAAGATTGCTCAGCAGGTATGAGAAGATTAAAGGTTACAACAGGCTCGTTGTCTCTTGCCTTCTCTCTCCTCTATTAGAGCGGGACAAGCTGTCTGACACTGCCCACAGCTCCAGGAGAAACCACCCTGCAGATCAATCAGCCCCAGACACTGCTCAGCAGCACAACAGCTGCTCCTGGGGGGGTCTGGGTGCCTGGGTTAGGAGCACGCAGAGCCCAGCCCGCTGAGTGCCCCAGTGACTCAGAGCAGGTTAATCCCCGAGTGAACAGGAGGATTCTGTTAATAACAGCCCCACAGCTAATGGGATCTCCCACTGGGAAGAGAAGTGGGTCAGGCAGAGCGTGCCCTTCCCGAGGACTGCAGAGGGACATGGTACTTACGGTCGATTTTCTTCTTCA